TTTATTCATGAGAGCCACACAGAGAGAGGCAGAGACATAGGCAGACGAGAAGAAGGCTCCCCGCGGGGGAACCCGATGGGGCATCCGATGTGGGGCCTATCCCAGGACCCTGGCATCACTGGCATCACAACCTGAGCCAAAGGCAGATGCTCAGCCACTGTGCCACCCAGGTGCCTCTAGTTTAAAATTCTAAAAGTAATAAACAATTTACAGTGAAAAGTCTCCCCCAACCAGCTCTCCTATATCATTCTGCAGATACTCTTTTGCACTGCTTTTTAATCTTTTTTTTTTTTTTTTTTTTTTTTTTTTATGATAGTCACACACACACAGAGAGAGAGGCAGAGACACAGGCAGAGGGAGAAGCAGGCTCCATGCACCGGGAGCCCGACGTGGGATTCGATCCCGGGTCTCCAGGATCGCGCCCTGGGCCAAAGGCGGGCGCTAAACCGCTGCGCCACCCAGGGATCCCCTACACTGTTTTTTAAATCCTTCTCGTGGTTTTTAAATCCTTCTCGTGGTTCCCCCTATGTATCTGTAAAATGTGCCTATAACGTTGTTACTGCTTCATAATCCACTTCACTCTTTCTGTCTTCCAGCTGTGACTGTGAAGATGCAGACCGACTTACTCTTTTTTTTCCTGACTTACTCTTTAAAATTCTCTTGAGCTGTAAGGATTTTTAAAGTCATAGAGTTTTTTTGAAAGAAAATTAAAAATTAAACTGTAAAAAAAGGGCTTTTATGTTAATATCAAACCAAGCGGTTCACACAAACCTAATCCAAGAAGCTGGAGAACTAACATTTGGACCGAGCCAGAGTTTCCGTGCTAATTTGAAGAAATTCACAGCCCGCAGTGCTGACGCCACACGTTGGGCGTGGGAACCCGGAACCCACCCCTCCCACTCCAAGAACTACCGTCCAAGCCCTTTTAAAAGGACAGCGCCCTCCCAGGGCCGCACCGCCGGCTCTACCCGCAGTCTCCCCTTAAAGGGGAAAACCATTTCTGTCGTCTAAAAAGGGAGCGACCAGCGGCGCCTTGCCTTAAGGTAAAACACTGCCCCACCTCTTGTTAAAAGGGTAAAGGTCCCCACCCGGGCCCACCTCACCTGCGCGGTCACTTTATATTCGGTGTAGCCCTTGGGGTGGGTCCGGGGGTCGGAGACTGTGTAGTGTCGCAGGAAGTCGTCCTTCGCCTGGCGGGACATGGCAACCGAGCTGGAGTGGAGCTGACCGCCGGCCTCTGCCTCCTCAACGCCGCCCCCGCCCCTCCAGGTCAGTCTCCGCCAGCCACCGCCTCTCCCAGGCCTGCGCCCTTCTTCCTAGAGCCTAGGGAGCGGGTCGCAAGTGACGGCGCAGTCCTTGGCCTTGGCGTGCGGCCAGGGAGCGTCTAAAAAGTTCTCGGTGGCGGGTAAGGCGTGAACTAGGTAGTTTAAGAGTTAAGAACCCGGGAGGTGGAAAAAAAAAAAAAAAAGAACCGGGGAGGTGGGATCACTTAGCTGACAGGTGCTCGAGCCTTACCCATCAAACGTGTCCAAACGACTTCTCCTCTGCTTTCTGGTTCCCTTCCCACTCACCCAACTTTTATTGTGCCGAGTGTGTGGCAGATGTAGCCAAATCATTTCCCTGTTTCCTTCCGTAGGATTCGCTAATTCATGTTTTCTGCAAGGGTAGGGGAAGTAAAAAAGAACTCCAGAGAAAAGGATGGCCTCACAGGTTCTGAAGTCACACTTCTTACCAGTTGTATGAGTTTCCCTTAACTACCCAAGCTTAAGTTTCTCCTCTCTAGAACGTTTATAATGTTTCTAATAGAATCTACTGCAGTGGATGTTTCTTTCATTCCCCTCTTGGTCTGTCCAGCATTCACCCCCACCTCTCTGTTAGCACCATATCTTTGTTTGGAGGTAGTTCTCTAATAGGTATAGCCCATCAGCTTCCTACCCCTGGAATCCAAAGGTGCCAGCTCCTTTCCTTGCCCCAAGTCCTGGGTAGGGGAGGAGGACTCTCCCCAGAAGCCTAATTCTTGAGTTCCTTGAGGGAGAAACAGAGTGCACAGTGCCTAGCAAGGGGACTGATTTGTTCCTGATGTGCAGTGTTGGCTGTGGGCTCAGCTGCCCAGCCTCTGGGCACCCTGTTTGTCAAACCTGATGTCTGGCACCCTGAGAGCTCCATCAGGATGCTGTCCCAAGACAGCATTAGTATCTTAGTATCTTCCCGAGACCATCCTTTCTGCTGTAGGCAGTTGTTTTTGTTTTTTTTTTTTTTTTTGATTTTTATTTATTTATGATAGGCACACAGTGAGAGAGAGAGAGAGAGAGAGAGAGGCAGAGACACAGGCAGAAGGGAGAAGCAGGCTCCATGCAGGGAGCCTGATGCAGAACTTGATCCACGGTCTCCAGGATCACACCCTGGCCTGAAGGCGGCGCTAAACCGCTGCCCGTAGAGGCCACTTATAGACATTATTTTTGTGCTCTCTCAAGCTCTCCCAGCAGGACTGGCTCCAAGTCTTCTTGCCCATCATTCCCTCCCCTCCCTGGCCCTGCAGCTCCCAATTCTCTCCTTTCTGTCTTCTTTCACCCTGTCCCCTCCAAACCCATTCCCATCTAGATCAGCTTGTCCCCCAGCTTTCAGATGCCAACTCCATTTCCATCACCAGGAGAAGCAAACAGAAGAGTCCTCATAGCCAGCAGGAGAGAGGAAAGCTGCAAATACACAGCTGCCAGCCTGGCTCCCCACATTCCCACTGGGTTGACCACAGGATGCAGACTTTCTGCCGCAGCTCAGACTCCTCATCTACAGGCCTTGCTAATGAGTACAACCTTGTTATTTTCTTGTCTCTAACCATGCATAATTCACACTTTAAATCAAGGATGCGGGCAGCCTGGGTGGCTCAGCGGTTTAGCGCCGCCTTCCGCCCAGGGTGTGATCCTGGAGACCCGCTCGAGTCCCACTTTAGGCTCCTTGCATGGAGCCTGCTTCTCCCTCTACCTGTGTCTCTGCCTCTCTGCCTCTCTCTCTCTCTCTCTCTCTCTCTCTGCCTCTCTCTCTCTGTGTCTCTCATGAATAAATAAATTAAAAATCTTAAAAAAATAAAATAAATCAAGGATGCTGTGTACTATGGGCCCCAGGAGGACTTGAACCCTGGGGTGACTCATCCGGATCAGTGGGTGGCTGAGTTCCCGTTGGTTGGATCTGCTTGAGATTCTACCAGTCCAGCGGCGCCTGGGTGGCTTAGCGGTTGAGCATCTGCCTTTGGTTCAGGACGTAGTCCCGGGATCTGGGATCGAGTCCCACATCGGGCTCCCCGCAGGCAGCCTGCTTCTCCCTCTCTCAATGTCTTTGCCTCTCTCTGTGTCTCTCATGGGTAAATGGATAAAATCTTAAAATAAAAAAAAGATCCTACTGGTTCAGATATTGAACATTATAGCTAACATTATATGATGCTTGTGACCAACAAGAGACCCACCCATTTGGTCCTTGTCCTAACTTTAGCAGGTCCTTATCTTTCTGCAGATGGGGACATTGAGGCACAAACATGTGAGGTGCTTGCTCAGCATCATCCAGTGAGTGGCAAGGTTGAGATTTGGTTCTGGGCCTGGGCGTGTTCACTCACCACAAGGTTTGGGTAGCATGGGGACCACGGTGTCTGTCCAGCATAGAGGACAGAACAGGCAGTTTTAATTTTTGACACAGAAGGACAGTTTATATTTTAAGATTGTCTATCCAACATCAATTTCCCTTCTTCTACCCTAACAGAGCCCACATTTTGCACCTGTCTGTACTCTCCAGAAGGGATTCTAGTGCCAGTTTAGGAGCAAATCTCGGTGACTCTTCCTCGCCTTTTCCTTGGGAAAACCACTCTTTCCTCATTAGACCCATTAGGCCTCCTCTCTCTGGCATCTGAGCTTTGAGCAGAGACACAAAAGCCTCAAATAGTGTGGCGTAGTGGCTCGATGTGCTGGGTCTAAATCCCAGTTCCCCTACTTCATAGCCTAGTGGCTTTGAACAAGTTGCCTAACCTCCCTCCTGGAGATTCAGTTCCCTTGTAGACGGGATACTGAGAGTCTGTCCTGCTTAGGGCTGTTCTTCAATGCGATGATACTGGAGAATGCTTCGAACAGAATCCAACAGAGTAGGCAGCCACTGGTAGGACCAGAGCAGGGAGAGGGGGTGCTGTGAAAACACCTGTTGGGCCACCTGCGGGACAACCCTGCTTCAGAGAGCACCTTAGTCTTTCAGAGGACTCTTCCCTGCTCTGCCCGGTTAGCAAGCTCTGCTTGATGCTCACATGCTCTCACACCTGCATCCTCTCCCCTCCCCACTTCCCAAGAGTCCTTGAGCCTTGTTTCTTGGCCACGTGGGTTCCTCTGCTAGAGCCAAAGTTGCCTATACAGCATCGGTGTAGACAGTCCACTGCAAGAGGGTTCCTGGCTATGGTGGGGAACTGGGAGCTCAAGTTCAGCCTGTTTTCCATTCAGCAAGCCATGAGCCCCGATGTGGAGCTGTGTCCCTTTTCCTTTTTTTTTTTTTTTAAGTTTTTATTTATTTATTCATGAGAGACACAGAGAGAGGCAGAGACATGGGCAGAGGGAGAAGCAGGCTCCCCATGGGGAGCTTGATACGGGACTCGATCCCAGGACCCCAGGATCATGACCTGAGCCAAAAGCAGACACTCAACCACTGAGCCACCCAGGAGTCCCTGTGTCCCTTTTTCTTATCTACTCCTCTGAGGACAGCTGTTGCTCTGGTAAACTGTCCACCTCCTTCCTCTATGCAAAGAACTACTTATCCTTCATGCCTAACTTTAACGTCACTTCCTCTGGGAAGTCTGCCTGGACTCTTCCAGATGGAATTAGTTACAGCCCTGTCATGAGCTTCTGTAATTCTTTGTGTGTCTCTCTGACACAGAAGTTAACCCTCTGACCGAAATGATCAGTGCCCTGCTACACCATGCACTCCGGGTGGCCTCGTGATGCTGTAGAATCAACAAATGACTCTACAAGGAGTTGAGGGCAAGAAAGGATTTATTCTCACAGCTGAGCAAAGGATGAGGCCCACAGCCTTGGTAGCAGCAGAGGCAGCTCCACCCCCCCACTCCCCTCCTAGGCCCAGCCCTCTCCTCTTGGCATGGCAGCTGCAGGTGGGCTGGGTCAGGAGCCAGGGTGACAGCCAGGGCAAGCAGCCCTCCAGCCACGGGAGCCAGCTGGCCACAGAGCAGCAGTGGGCAGCACTAGCAGCAGCAGCAGCAGGTTACAGAGTGGGGTGGGGGGTGTTTGTCAGGCTGGCTGACTCCCGTTCCCCCATGGATGGTGCTTGATGAGGGCGGGGGGTAGGGGGCTGGACTGCAAGGTGGGGTGGGGGGCATCTGGAGTCGTTCAGTCGGCCGTGAAGATGCGGCTGGAAATGTCATCCAGGAGCCAGTCAATGCCAGGCAGGAGGTTCTCCCCAGTGACGGCACTACAGCCCTGGATACACCAATGGTGGCTGTGGATGGAGTCCAGGTCCAGGGCCTGGGAAGGTGGGAGAGGGTGGTGGGCCCCGGTGACCATGGGCCCTGCCACTCACAGCCCCCTTCCCTCTCCTGGTCCAGGGGAAATCCATGCCTCCCTCAAGGGCCTGCTTTCAGAAGTCTCCCCTGGCCCCTGGTGAAGATTTGTCAGTTCCTCAGGGCACTGGGGCTCTCTGTGCAACACCACACCAATACTACCCCTTAGTAACTGAACAGCAACACAGGATCCAGCATCTGCTAGGATCCAGGCATTGTGCTATAAGCCCCACAAATATCCTCTTCTCATCCATTCCTCCTAGGGCCCAAAGAGCCAGGGATTGTTGGCCATTTTACTGAGAATGCCTCAGAGAGGTTAAGCAACCTGCCTAAGTTCACACAGCTAGTAAGTGACAGAATGAAGATTCTAACCCCATTCTTTCTCATTCTGGTGCTCATGCTCTAGAGCACAAGGCAGAATACAATTTGGGGTCACACAGGCCTGCACTGAAATCCCGTTTGTCTGCTTACTGTGTGACCCTGACCACGTTAGCTCACTTTTCTAAACCTGCTTCGCCATCTGCAGAATGACAGTAATGGTTCCTACTGCAGGAGGCTGGGGTGGGAACTGAATGAGTTAATCCACGCAGAGCCTGGCACAGAAAAAGTACTCACTACTGGTTGGCTGCTGTTATCCTGTAGGATAATATTTGCATGTCTGCCTTCCCCCAGGCTGTGGGGCACAACTAGCTCTTATTAATTACTGAATCTCCAGTGTCCTGCATAGGTCCTGCCACATAAGAGAAGCTAATAAATGCTTTTTAAATACGTTAACAGAGAAACATGTGCCCCTTTTGTCCACAGGCCTATGCAAAGGCTTGGACTCACCTCACGGATGGCATTAGAGGACAGTGCTCCAGGCAGGTCTTGTTTGTTGGCAAAGATGAGGAGGGTTGCTCCAGCCAGGCGCTGGGGGAGAGAAACAGGGGGTGGGGAGTGGGGGCTCAGAGGGAACCCTGGCCACTCCTCTAAATACCCAGAGCAGGTGGGATCAGAGATCAACCTGGAAAATCAGGGCAAGGCCCCAGGGTGGTAGGAGAGGCCCTACCAAGTAGGGCAGACAACATGGACATGGCCTGTGAGTCCAGCCACACATGGTGGGGGAGGGCCGTTACCGTGAGGTCAGTGGGCACCTCCCTCCTTTATGCCTCAGTTCCTACCACCATAAATGGAGAGGGGAAGATGGACAAGAAGATCCCTGAGCTCTCTGGTTCTAGACTGCTCCCATTTGATGACCTGAGCTGCATAAAGAATGCAACCATCCTGGGGTTATGCGGTCTGGTGGAAGTGACTATTCCCTCTTCCAAGTTCATGTAGCACTTTAACTGTTCACCACCCTGCAGGCCTAACTCTCTGCCTCTGCTTCCAGTTACTTCCTTGTGTTACCGATTGGGACTCCCTCCATGTAGGTAGGTGGATCTAGGCCTGAAATAGGGCCTCGAGGTGACAGGCCAGGGCCAAACATGGACAGCCATGATCTCACTAGACCTGCCTGACATGCTCTGGAGGTGGCTAGGACTATATCAGGTGGCCGTATCCCTGTGTACCCCAAACAGTCCTGTTTATGGCTATTGACCCTGCATAATTTTTCACAAATCCCTCTTTCATTCTTAAGTGTCCCGCTTTTCAACTAAATCCAAGTGTAGTAATCCAGATCAAATCCTGGAACAGAAAAAGGGTATTAATGAAAAAAACTAGTGAAATCCAAAGAAAATCTGTAGTTAAGAGTAATTTACCCATGCTAATTTCTTAGTGTTGACAAATGCATGGTGGTTACGTGTGCTGTTAACATGGGGGAAACAGGGTGAAAGGCATATGGGATATCTCTTCACTATCTTTGCAACTTAGCTGCAAATCTCAAATTTTATTTCAAGGAAAGTGTTTTGGGCCAGATAATAAGTTATAAGATCACCCTAATTATAAAGCCCATCCTAGAAATGAGGAAATGGAGGTTCACAGAGTTAAGTGTCTCGCCTGAGGTTACACAATGAAGAGTCCAACTCCTGAGCCAGGCTCCACTGCCTCCCAGAGCTTCATAAATGGGCTTCAAGTCATCCTCCCTCAAGCCCATTCAAGGTACAGAAACTGAAGCTGAGAGTGGTGAAGCAGTGACATCAAAGGGACGTGAACCCAGGTCTCAGTTCACAGCATGTCCTGTTCACAGCAAGGTGGGTCTCCCCTGGACCAAGTGTACAGGTTGCCTCTGCCCCCAAGGGTGCTGGGCACATGGTGAGGGCTCAGGGAAGAAACAGACCCCACCCTAGGTATCCCTTTGGGGTCACAGGCCCCTTAGGGACTCCACTGAGGAGAGTGTTTACCCATCCATGAATATACACAAGGATGCTGATGGAGGCCTGGCCTGGCCTGCTTGGCCAGGCACCCTGCCCACCTCCTCCACCAACAAGCTCTGGAGCTCCCGCTGGCAGTCCTGCATGCGCTGGCGGTCGGCGCTGTCCACCACCCAGATGAGGCCATCGGTGCTCTCAAAGTAGTTCCGCCAGTAGGACCGCAAGGACTTCTGGCCTCCCACATCCCAGATGTTCAGCTTGAATCTGGACAGGAAGGGAGTGGCTCAAGGGTCAGCCTGGCCCCTCACCCACCCTCTCTGCCTACTCCTGGGCCAGCCCACTGAGGGGTCCCCGCTCACCCTCGATGTTCCAGGGTCTTAATGTTGAAGCCTAGTGTCGGGGAAATGGTGTCAATGTCTTCCCCGTTGAACTTCTTGAGGATGGTTGTTTTGCCAGCATTGTCTAGGCCGCTGGGGCGCACTAGGTTAAGGAGAAGTCCCTGAACTCTGCAGGGTGGTGACATCACAGTGCCCCTCTTTTAGGGGATAACTTATTTTCCACCCTGTATCGACTCAGTTGAGCAACTGTATCAACTCAGTTGAGCCTGACCCCCAATTTATTGGCTCACGATAAATGGCAAAGAATCAAGTAATAAAGATTTTTTTAATCATCTCTTCCTAACTAAAGTTTCCTTAATTTACTCTATAATATTTATTGAATACTTACTTTGTGCCGGGCCCTCTTCTGGTGCTGGGGGTACCCCAGAATCAAAGTCCCCACCCTTGTGCAGCTTCTACTCTAGTGTGGAGACAGTCAATAGAGTGCAAACAAATGAGAAACAAGGTACCATCAGCTCCTGGTGAGTGTAAGAAATACAACTAAGAGGCTATGGGCGGGGGTCATTGCAGGAGCTTCCTTTAGCTTGGGCACCTCTCTCAGGGTCTCAAGCTGAGGACCAAACTACAAGGAGCCAGCTTTCCAAAGGACTAAGGGAAGAGCATTCTAGACAGAGCAAACAGCAAGAGCAAGGACCTGGAGATGGCCACCCTCACCTGTTTCTGGAAGGTTCCAAACCCTTTGCTGTTCAGTGAGTATGCAAACAAATGGGTGAGTTCAGCAGCTGGAGAGAACACCCCGGGGGTCCCTCCAACCCTTAAGGATGCTTGCAGCTGGGAGGGGGCCCCAGGTGACTCAAACCAGTAGAATGAGTGTGACCAGAGCTCTCCTGAGACTCAACCTTCGATTACCTCCTTCACACCCCAACTCCATCATCCACTGGATCATTCCCATCAGCTAACAAGCTGGTGTCTCCCCCACCTTAAAAGCAAACAATACCCTCTCTTGATCCCTCGCCCCTCTACTCCTTTTTTTCTTTCCCTTTATAGCATATCTCCTCAAAACTGTTGTCCCTACTCACCCTGATTTCTGTCCTCCTGCTTTTGCTTGGACCCATGAGATTTTGCTCCCCCTGCTTCCCTGAAACTGCTCTTGCCAAGATCCCTAAAGACTTCACATTGTTCTCTGGCAGGTGGAGGGCAGTACTCAGCCATCTTCCTGCTCCATCATCAGCACCTGACCCCTCCTCTACTCCTCTGCCGGGTTCTCATTGCCTCTTATCCAGATCTTATCCAGATCTGTCTCAGTTCTCCTCCACCCATGCTCATCTCTTAGTGCTCCCACCCAGGATCACAGCTTCAAATACCATCTTTATGCTGGTGACGCCCAAATGTACACATCCCACCCAGCTGCTCCCCTGGACTCCCGGCCCTCTATCATCCGGCTGCCAACTGGATACTTATTGGATGTCTCAGGATATCTTGCTTGGCCAAACCTGAGCTCTTATCTTTCTGAACCTGCTCCCTGCCCCCTCCTCAGCAAGTGGTTCCTCCTTCTTTGGAAGCGCTCAGGCCAGAAACCTGAAGTCAGGCTTGACTTCACTCCCTCTCACACTTGAGTCTAATCCAGCAGCAATGCCTGCTGGGCCTCGGATCAACTGTCTCCCAACTTTCATCACCTCACTGTTTCCGTCCTGGTCCAAGCTACCATCCTATCTCACCTGTGGTGCAGCAACCAGATCATGCTTCTCCTGGGCACTTCTCCTTTTAAGGAAAAGCCAAGAACCAAAAGCCACATGAAGTGATGGTTGTCCTGTCATAATCTAGTGCTCTTCTCCTTGCTTACGCTCTCCAGGGACACGGCCCTCCTCCCTCCTCAAAATTCCTTTGAACACACCAGTTGAGTTCCTCCTTCCAAACCTTGCATTTGCCCTTCCTTTTGCATAAACAAATTTTGCGATGACATCTACATGGTTCATCCCTCACCTCCTGGTCTTTACTCAACTGTCACTTTTTCATGGTGGCCTTCTTTGACCTTGTTTAAACTGCATTCTTCTCCATGCATCCTATACATTTTACCTATTTGCTTTGTTAACATCTTTCTCCCCATGGCATTATAGACCGTCCACGACGGTAAGGATTTCTTTTGCTGTTCTACCCCAGCCCCTAGGACAGTGCCTAGCACATAGAAGGCCCTCAGTAAATGTTGAACTGGATGAGTGAATGCTCTGTGCCTCTTCCTCAGTATTATAAGGTTATCCGCGCACTTTAAGGTCTTCTCTCCGCTGCTCGGGGAGCTCCGGCTGAGACCCGCCCAGCCCCGGGATCGCGGAGTCCCCGCGGGCCCCTGCACACAGAAGGGAGAACGAGTGCAGGCACCCGCTAACCGGACGCAGAAGGTCGGCGGGGCCCTCGGGCCTACAAGCCCTCAGCCTGGGGCGGGGGCGGGAATACCGACGCGGCGTGCGGCCAAGGACACCGGCGTGAGACCCACGGGAGGAACAAGCCGAGCCGAGGCGTCTACCTCCCCTAGGATCGCAGGGCGGGGCCCCACGCCCCGGGGATTCGGGCCTTGAGGGCGGGGCCGGGGCCTGGCACCCTCGGAGGCGGGGCGGGGGGGGGAAGGTCAGAGCCAGGGAGGACAGCGGCCTCACGCTCTAGCCCGACCGCCGGGTGGTGGCCTCCAAGACCCCCTCCCCCTACATAGGGACATTGGTCCAGCCTCTGCGCTTTTAGACCCTCACCTTTGGCCTTGGGAACGGAGTCCTCCCCGCCCCGAGCCGGTGGTACGGTCTCCTCCCAACCTCCCCCCGCTGGGGCGATTGGTAGGGCCCACGTGCGTGACGCACAAAGGGCAGTTGGTACGCGCCGGCCGCGCACCTCGCGCCCAGCAGGGGGCGCCTGGCACCGCCCACCCGGCGTGCTCCCTTTCGCCCCCCCGCTACCCTCGCGGCTCCGGCGCCCGGGAGGATACAGCATGAGCAGTCGCAGCTCCCGCTCTTTCTGCTTCATCTTCTTCAGAATGGTCAGAAGCCCCATGGTCCCTGTAGCCCCCTCCCGGCCGCCGTTTCTTCCTAGTCCCGGGACCCCTCTCCCTGCTCCTATTGGCTATCACACCCACCGACAGCGCGGCCTATTGGCCGGCCTCTCGCTTGGTCCCGCCCTCACCCCACGTGACCGCGAAGCCCCTGGCGGTGCCACCGAGATAGTCCCTCTAGCGGTGCTGGGGGCTTCTGTGGGCCACCTGCCTTAACCCTTCTCTTCCCGAGGCCTTGGGGGCCGAGGTACCGCCATTCCTTCCTCTCCGGGAACCCAGGCTCTGCTGGGAACGGAAACCTGGGTTGTGTTCTGACTCAGGCGTCGGAATCCCCAAGGATATGGACAAGCTAGTTCCGGGGCCGCTGTAAGGCCCGATTTCCCGGAAACGGGGTGCAGATCCTGCTCTTCTTGGACCTTGGCATCATCCTAAACCTGCCACCTACAGGGCCTTCCCCTTTCCCTGTCTTCTGGAATCCTAGAGTGTGGGCCTGGGTTTCTCCATTGGGGCGAAAATGCCTCCTAGGGGCCATTTCGAAATGTGCGGGATGGGGCGGGGGAATTTTTGGGTTGTCCCAATTACCAGGTACAGTCGCCCTCCTTTAGAGGGTAGGGGGGAGCCCTACACAAAGAATATCCCGCCCAGGATGCCCGTCGTTTGTCTCTTCAGAAGCACTGTTTTTCATTTTGCCTGTGAGACTATTGAGCTGTTCGTGATAGTTAGCAGTGACTGGCATATGTTAGGTGCTCAATAAATACCTATTTTTTTATTTTTATTTTTTAAAAGATTTTATTTATGAGACAGAGAGAGAGGCAGAAACACAGGCAGAGGGAGAAGCAGGCCTCCCGCAAGGACCCCGACGCGGGACTGATCCCGGATCCCAGGATCACGCCCCAAGCCGAAGGCAGACGCCCAACTGCTGAGCCACCCAGGCGTCCCCCTGTTTTTTTTTTTTTTTAAGATTTTATTTATTTATTCATGAGAGACACACAGAGAGAGAGGCAGAGACACAGGCAGAAGGAGAAGCAGGCTCCATGCAGGGAGTCTGATGTGGGACTCCAAAACCGGGACTCAGTCGCGGATTTGAGGATTACACCTTGGGCCGAAGGTAGGCACCAAAACGCTGGCCCACCAGGGATCACCAACAAATACCTATTGTTAAATGAATGACTTTGTCTAAGAGTTTGATTCTTTACCTTAGCGCTCAAGTCCTGAAGAAGTGAAGAAAATGAGGGCAGAGACTAGGCGAACTGTAAACTCTGAAGGGTGAGCTGAGCTTATTGCTCTCCATTGAACCCTTCCCAGCCCACTGCAGGGTAAATGTGAGTAGGCAACACAGAGTAGGCTCTGTCTACTATTTGGGAAAGAACAGTCTGGCCTGAGCTGAAGATAATGGCTGATTTCTGTGAATTGTTTTATAAAGCACCCCATGTTTTCTATTTCATCCTCCTGGCAACCCTAAGAGGTTTGTTGAAGTAAGATGTACTGTTTTTCAGGGTCTCTCCTTAGTGTTTGTCTAGAGAGGGAGAAGTCCGGGGCAAGCCTGAGCTTCCAATCCTGCAGAAGAAGGTTGTGAACAGGGGCCTGGACAGAACAGGGTCCCTGACTGAGCACCCTCATTCAGTACTATTCACCCTCCATCAAGCACACACAAGGGAAGAAAGTGAGCCTAACTCCTATTCAAAGGCTTTGGGATAGCAAGTAAGAGAGCAAGATGCCTGCTATCTTGCCCTCATGAGTCTGTACTACAAAAATTCCAGCACCAGCACGTGAACGTTTATGACAAGAAAGTTCACTGTGGCATGGTTTGGAACAACAAGAAATTGAAAAAAAAATCTAAGTGCCTTCAGTGGGGGTCAGTTACCTAAGCTGGGGTAACTGTGCTGGTGGATTCCGTGAAGCTTTTGGAAGGGTGAGATGGATCATAATGTACCTGCATGGAAAGATGTCTTGCCAAGTGAAAAACAAACAAACATTTCAATCCCATTTTAGTTTTGAAAATAATAATAATAATAACCCACTAGACAGTATTTTCCTACAGGATCACAACGCACTAAATAGAACGTGAAACTACTTGTGTCACAAATTAGTTGAGCCGTATGAAATCTCCCATATTTAATCATTTTGACTACAAAGTTGTCAGTTTCATATGGTTAAACCTAGCAGCATTAGCAAAAAAATTATGTGAAATGAACAGGACACTGCCTTTGCCCATGAAGTAAAGGTAAGTAATGTTCGTTGAAAAATCCAGGTATTTATATGTACATGGGTACTTCTTACTGAGAGTCCTAGTCATGAAGTTTGAAAATCACTGCATTTTGAGGCACCTGGGTGGCCCAGCGATTGAGTGTCTGCCTTTGGCTCAGGTCATGATCCTGGGATTGAGTTCCCCATCAAGCTCCCAGTCAGAAGCCTGTTTCTCCCTCTGCCTATGTCTCTGCCTCTTTCTGTTTGTCTCGCTTGAATAAATAAATAAAATCTTAAAAAAAAAAAAAGAAAAAATCACTGCAATTCAATTGTTAACTCTGGAGTAGGTTGAGGGAAACTTAAAATTATTACGTTAAGCAGATCTGGATCAATTTTCTTTTTTTTATTATTATTATTTTTATTTATGATAGTCACACACACACACAGAGAGAGAGAGAGAGAGAGAGAGAGAGAGGCAGAGACACAGGCAGAGGGAGAAGCAGGCTCCATGTACCGGGAGCCCGACGTGGGATTCGATCCTGGGTCTCCAGGATCGCGTCCTGGGCCAAAGGCAGGCGCCAAACCGCTGAGCCACCCAGTGATCCCCACATTAACTTTTGAATAGCAAATGCCTGGGAGCACCTGGGTGGCTCAGTTGATTGATTAGGTATCAAACTCTTGGTTTGGGCTCCTGTGAGATAATCTCGGCATGGAGTCTGCTTAAGATTCTTTCCCTCTCTTTCTCCCCCTCTGCCCCCCCCCACCCCACACATGGATGCTCTCTCTCTTTCTCTAAGATAAATAGTAAATAAAATCTTTAAAAAGATAATAATTGCCTATAGCTAGAAATCTAGTCTGGAAGGTGAAGAGGAGGGGTGAAGGGGCTTTTAAAGACAAGTGCGGGGGTCTCGTGAGTGACAGGCAATGTTTTCATTTGCCCCATTTAAAGGAGGAAAGGGTACTCTTAAGTAAAATCTTTAGGGAATACCTTTGGAAGAAAACTGGGAAAGATCTATAGAGCTGTAGCTATATATAATTGTGAATATATATATATATATTCACAAGAGAGCTTTGGGAAATTGAAATACCAAAGCCTGACAGCTGTGAAACCTGCTTTCGAAGGGAGAGTTTCTTGAGGCTAAGTAAGAGGATTGTAACTTGAGGACACAGTTCTAGATGCCTTTTAAAAAAGCATATGTGTTTACCCAGTCTGGAGAGGAAATTCTGACATAATTTTAATTTTAAGAGGAACAGCCTTTCTGATTCAGCTATACATTTTGTGTATTACCTTTATAATTGTCAAAGAAAAGTAACAGAACTCTTTTCATCCTGGAACAACAGCAAGCAGGGGAAAAGACCTTGCTTTTTTTTTTTTTTTTTACGACCTTGCTTTAATTAAATTGCTGTTCATTAAGCAATAAAATACTAAGTATTTTATAAATATTTGTTTTTAAGATATCTAGAGGACTTTTCTATTTGATTCTTCTAAAGTACAGTGTTAGTTGAGATTGTTTAAAGTTACAGTTTTGATAAGAGAAGTCTTGTTTTTCTCCCTGGTGAGATACATCTGTGGAGCACATGCATATGACAAGAGCATCAACTAGCACTTGGTGGCAGCATACCCAAGTGTAGGCTTTGTCCCACTAATTTGTAAACAAAGAACTGGAAGGTTGAGGGTTCCACCTAATCACTGGAATGGCCACGGCCTGCAGACCAAGTTCTGCGCTGGCCTGTTCTAAGACTCTCACCCCTTATCTTCCTGTAAACCTTACGTATCCAGGAAAGGCCTCGTCCCCAGTGGGTGTGTACAAGGTACTGGCCACAGCCAGATGCCTCACAGGTACAAGCATCCTCGTTCCAGGCCTCAAGTGGGAGGCAGAGGAGGTATCCTCTCTGACAGATGACAAAACAAGCTGTTTACACACGCATTTGTCATCCATCCAAGGGCACGTGGCATCATCAGCCTTGTCCACAATCTTAGGGGTGCAGGGAAGACCTTGAAAACCTGAGCATTTCCAACAAACATGTCCACGCCCACCTCACCTGTGCCTGTGGTGTCCTCAAGAGCCAGGCTGTGCCTAGGGTTCTTGTTTCCTGGCAGGGTGAATGGGGTGGTGGGGAGCATAGTGGCTGTCCTTTGGCAACCTGAGAGGCAGGTCCACTCTTTTCACTTCATTAACAATAAACCAGGGGCTCCACCTGCCCAATCACTACAGCAGCCTCTCCACCCCCCATTTTCCTATTCCTTCTCCCCAAGGCAGAGGGACTTTTTTTATCCTATGCTCAGAT